ATTATGCAAATATGCAATAGATTATTTGAAAAATACAGGGTAGCTATATCTGTAAATACACTTACACACACTACACTAGCAATCTTATCTTGAGCCGGGAGATTGGGGTGGTTTGGGATGTTCTAAATAAGTGCACTTTTTGATTTTTTATATAAAAAAAAAAAGTAGAGAAAGTGGTTAGAAAAGTAGAGAGGAGATGTTGATAGATGTTGGTTGATGTAACCCAAATAAGTATATGTATGTAAAAAAAAGTGCACTTTTTTAGGTTAACCCAAACAAGTACTAAGTGTTTTTTCAGCAATAAAAAGTAGAATAATATCTCAACATACAAGTGTAAGTAGTTCTAAATTACAACGTTATTTGAAAAGCTTGTCAATGGATGATTTCGATGATTTTGACATTTTTGAATGGTAGAAACAAAATGAAACTATATAACCTGTGCTTTCACAGATAGCCGGTGATATACTAACCGTTCCTATTTCTACAATTGCTTCGGAAACAGCTTTTAGTGCAGGTGAATGGGTGTTGAGCGATTACCGAAACAGGTTTTCACTTCAAATGATTGAGGCACTGATGATATCCAGAGATCATATGCATGCGCTTACAAGAAAACAAAATTATAGTGAAAATGAGTGAATTCAAAATGATTTGGATGACATATCCTCGGGCAACGCGACTGAAATTTCTGTCTCCTTCGATGATTGATCAACAATTTGATTTTTTACTATTTCATTTCATTATTATTATTTTTTTTGTATTAGATTATTGAGGTGGAGTATAATACAAATGATTGATAGGCTAGTAGGTACTAACCTAGTTAGGATGTACTTGACCTATAGTTATGCAATTGCTCAAACATCATCAATAATCTACACTTATTTTATTTAATAATATCAATTTTTGTATTATTTTATTTCATTTTGAAATAAAATTATTCATTCAATAAATGTTACATAAATAATTTAATATTGTAATATTAAAAGTTTCATTTTCATATTTATAAAATTATTCATTTCGAAAGAAAAAAAAATTACATAATTACATATTTTTTTAGTTATAAGTTCATAATTAAAAAATTATAAGTCATACATAATTAAATTTAAATATCACCATGAAATATAACCAACAAAACATTTCATTAATCTTAATTAAAATACTCTAGTATAATTTTTTATTCCTAATAAAAAAAAAGACTTGACTAGGCCCGGCCCTAGGCCCTAGCTTAGGCCTTAGCCCAGACCTTACGCCCAACCCTAGGCTCTATTATAAGTGGGCTTGGACTTGGCTTAGGCCATATCTTTTGATCCATAGCCGGCCCGGCCCGACCCACTAAAAGAAGAGAACCCGCGAGACCCACTTAGGTTGGCCCCTGTCCGAACCCGGATGAACCGAGTCAGGCCAGGGCAAACCAGTATTACATCCCTAGCCTTCGGCAGGTCAAATAATTGTTTTGAATATCCTGTCTATGGGCATAGGTTAAACTTGTATGATTTCATTTCATTTTTTTATTTTTTATTTTTTATTCTTAACCTTTTTGTGTTTGTTAGCCTTAGTGGCCGTTTGTCAACTTCATAAAAAGTCAATTTATGTTAAAAAAAATCAATAAAATTACAAAGTTACTTGTTATTAATTAAAAATATGAAATGTTATTTTATTTTTTTTTGACAATTTTTTAATGACTTTCAAAGCACATTGATTTTTAAAATTTTTAAAAAATCACTAAAAAGAGTTAACTCAAACCTGCCTTGAGTTAATTATCTGTTTTTTATTCTGCAAAGGATTTCCAAATGTGGATCCCACAAATGAAAATGAACATTTTTTCGGTTGGAATACGTATGATTCAAGTAAATTCAGCAAGTCTTTTGGAGGCTTTTCCCAAACTAAGCCCTTATTGTATGGTATTTTTTAAATTAGGTCACCTTTTGACGGGTTTTTCAAACTAAGCTAAAGCGTTATTACAAATCGCGCTTTTACTGTTAGGAGATCAAAATTTGATGAATAGTGAAATCGCTATTCAAAATCACGATTTTAATTAAAAAAGCGCTGTTTCAAATCACGCTTTTAATATAAAAAAAATTTGTGAAAAAAACGCTATTTAAAATCGCGTTTTCACTGTGTATATAATTTTTATTTTTTTTTTTTTAGAAAACGCAAATTCAAATCGCGTTTCTACTGTTGAGCCAACCCACACTCTGACACACACACACACCAATGGGGGCACCCACAACACTCAAGCATCATTGAAATAATATAATTTTTATAATTTTCGTAAATATAAATCATTTTTAAATTATGAATAGTTTGATTTATAATACGTATCTAAAGATAAAAAATTTTATAATCAAAAATAATTTTTACAATTTTTATAATCAAAAATAATTTATAATACGTATGTATTATAAAATTTGTTGTAATAATTTATAATACGTATGTATTATAAAATTTGTTGTAATAATTTATAATACGTATGTATTATAAAATTTGTTGTAATAATTTATAATACGTATGTATTATAAAATTTGTTGTAATAATTTATAATACGTATGTATTATAAAATTTGTTGTAATAATTTATAATACGTATGTATTATAAAATTTGTTGTAATAATTTATAATACGTATGTATTATAAAATTTGTTGTAATAATTTATAATACGTATGTATTATAAAATTTGTTGTAATAATTTATAATACGTATGTATTATAAAATTTGTTGTAATAATTTATAATACGTATGTATTATAAAATTTGTTGTAATAATTTATAATACGTATGTATTATAAAATTTGTTGTAATAATTTATAATACGTATGTATTATAAAATTTGTTGTAATAATTTATAATACGTATGTATTATAAAATTTGTTGTAATAATTTATAATACGTATGTATTATAAAATTTGTTGTAATAATTTATAATACGTATGTATTATAAAATTTGTTGTAATAATTTATAATACGTATGTATTATAAAATTTGTTGTAATAATTTATAATACGTATGTATTATAAAATTTGTTGTAATAATTTATAATACGTATGTATTATAAAATTTGTTGTAATAATTTATAATACGTATGTATTATAAAATTTGTTGTAATAATTTATAATACGTATGTATTATAAAATTTGTTGTAATAATTTATAATACGTATGTATTATAAAATTTGTTGTAATAATTTATAATACGTATGTATTATAAAATTTGTTGTAATAATTTATAATACGTATGTATTATAAAATTTGTTGTAATAATTTATAATACGTATGTATTATAAAATTTGTTGTAATAATTTATAATACGTATGTATTATAAAATTTGTTGTAATAATTTATAATACGTATGTATTATTTAAATCTTTACATTTTTTATTTAAATTTTTTTATAGTAAACCCATCTTCACATTTTATAATACGTATGTATTATTCAAAAATAATTTATAAAAATTTATAATTAATACGTATGTAAATAATTTAATACGTATCTTCACATGTAGAAACGCGATTTGAAATCGTGTTTTCTAAAAAAAAAAAAAAATTATATGCACAGTGAAAGTGCGATTTTAAATAGCATTTTTTTCACAAAAATTTTTTATGTTAAAAGCGCGATTTGAAACAGCGTTTTCTTAATTAAAATCGCGATTTTAATTAGCGATTTCACTATTCATCAAATTTTGACCTCCTAACAGTAAAAGCACGATTTGTAATAGTGCTTTAGCTTAGTTTGAAAAATCCGTCAAAAGGTGACCTAGTTTGGGAAATACCATGCAAAAAGGGCTTAGTTTGGGAAAAGCCTCAGTCTTTTGACACTACCTACCATGGGGAACTTGAAGTCAAGAGTTAAAACTGAGGGTAAATAACAAATATACTCTCTCAGATTTGATTAAAATACGAATTATCTTCTGTGATTTTAAAAATTACATTTCACCCTCTAAGGTTTCTAATTTTATAATAAATCATCCATTCTATTAATAAATCATCAAGTCAATTAACAGTTTTTAATGATGTTAGAAATATGTTTCATTTAATAATTTAAGTAATTTTATTATTGTATAGGAGAGTAATTATGAATTTTATTTTTTTAGTTAATTTTGTTAAATAAAAAATATTAATAATGAGATATTTGTCATTTTCCAAACCATAAGGTGCAATATATATTTTAAGCAAACCGCATGATTTATTTGTAATTTATCCTAAAACTAAAGAAAATGAAAATTAATGAGATGAAAGAAAACAATGTTGGCACGTTGGATTTGTAGAGCCTGATTGGTAGTGGATCCAACCCTTGCTTACTAAGGGTATTACAGTAATTTGATAATTCTTAATCCTAACATATATATTACTATCTATCCAAATGGTCATGTTATTTATTTGTTTCTTATTAGTATAATAGAACTGATATGAGTCGTGAACTTAGACAATGTTCTCAAACCAGTTTGTGGGCGTAGACAATGTTGTCAAATCACAAATCTGTGTTTGTGTTAGGTTTTGGTGTTGTTGTTGTTTTTTATGCATTGTTGTTGCAATTGTGTATTAGGCTGTTTGTTTCAGTTTTTCAGAACCAATTTATGACTTTTAGCTTTGAAAAAATTATTTTGGACTGTTTAGTTAAACTTATTTCAAACAGCTTCTGATTCTAACAGCTTATTTTAACTCAAAAAAGCTGATTCTGAGAAGCTGCTCATCCCTTACTTCTGATTATCAGCTTCTGCTGTGGACATGTTAATTTATGGTTATACTCTTAAATTTTTTTATTTTTTATTTTTTTAAAAATAGAAAAAGACTTAAATGGACTATAGATTATTATTATTATTTTTTATGAGAAATGTAGACAAACAAAAAATAAAAATTAATTGAAAAAGCTATTTCACAGCTTATTTAACAAACATTACTCAGTAACTTAAATCTATAATCCAACAGCTACACCAAACAGATTAACAACTTCTGATTAAAGTCATAATTTATAATCTGTTAAGTTATAACCTATAAGCTGTTTTAACAGCTACACCAAACGGGGCTTATTTAGTTTATTCCACATGATGGAGCACCATGACTCAATGAAATTGATACATTTGTCTTTGTTTAAAGGTTCTGATTTGCAAAATTACAAGCAGGAAAAGCAACTAAGAGAGTGTTGGAAGCTTGTATGTTGGCCGGCCCATTAATGGTTCATTCAAATTTATTCATACCCCTTTCAAGAAATATATACATATATAGTTGTTGGTCCTCCTTTGGCCTCACCTCACTCCCAAAGAATCTGATTGCAAAACCAACTCTTGATTAACATGATCATCATTGTTTCAACCACCTTGTTCTCTTCATGTTCAAACACTTTCTGATCTGCTAAACCATGATTTCCTTATGGTTTCTCATGTGGGTATGCTTCAATTCAATCCATGCTCAACAATTCTATGACTTTACACCATGTTCTTCGCCAACCAACAACAACGGTACACGATACACCTGCAATTCCTTTCAGAAATCATGCCACACATTCTTGGTCTATAGAGCCAACCAACAATCCCAGACCATTTCAAATATCGCCCGTCTGTTCATCGCTAGCCCCGACGAGTTAATTTTCTTAAACAACCTCACATCTGCCTCAGAGATTCTCAAACCAGGCAGAGAAGTTCTAATTCCCATTAACTGTTCTTGCACGGGCAAATTTTACCAAGCAAATATCACCTACTTAGTCTCCGAAACCACAACATCATTCGCAGATATCGCTTGCGGTGTGTTTGAAGGTTTGATCAAATCAATCACACTTGCTGAGCAAAACCCATCTCATGACAACGACCCCAAGGTTGGTTCTGTTCTTCATGTGCCTTTGAAATGTGCTTGTCCTGATAATTTCACTGTTAAGTACCTTGTCACATACCCTTTCATAGAAGGAGATGAGACAAATGAAGTAGGACTGAAATTTGAAATTCCAACTGTGGATATATGGGAGGCTAACCATTTAGATCCTGGTCCAACTGTGTATCCAAACACAACTGTTTTAGTCCCAGTAAAAGGGAAACTGGTCATTAACCTCGATATTCCTGTTTCTGATCCTCCAATTCCGGGTTTTTTACCCACAACTGCTGTTAAACAACCTGAGAAAACCACACAACTAAAAAAACTGTTCATTGTCGGATCAATTTTAGGAATTTCTCTAGTACTAGTCGCATTGTCTGCGTGCGGTTTGTATGTTAAAGAGTTGAACAAATGGAAAGCTGCCCGCATTCAATCATCAACACGGAGAAGCTCTCTCACCTCGTGTTCGACTCCAAGAAGCAGAAGCTCCACAAATTCGTGTTTGTCTCCAGACCTTCTCATTGGGATTAAGTACTCTTTGTGCAATTACAGCACAGAGGAGATCAGAAGAGCAACAAAAGATTTCGGCAAAGATACTAAGATAAGTGGATTTGTGTACAAGGGTGTGGTTGACAATGTTAACGTGATGATCAAACAGTTGAGATTAAAAGATACTAAGTTGATTATTGATCTCCATTCAAAAATCAACCATGTCAATATAGTGAAATTGCTCGGTGCTTGTTATGGTGAGAGCAACTTTTTGAGTTCCTATCTTGTTTTTGAATTCCCTGCCAATGGCTGCTTGAGGGATGGCTTGACGAATCCTTCATTCTCTCTCCGGTGGCATAGACGGACTCAAATAGCATTCGACATTGCAACCGGGCTTCACTATTTGCACTATTTTATGGTTCCACCTTACACTCACATGAGCATAAATAGTAGAAATATTTTTCTAACACCAAATTGGAGGGCAAAATTGGCAGTTTTCGGAACTACCCCTATGGTTGGATCCTCAAAAGAAAACGGCGATGTGATTAGTCTTCCCAGAGGGGGGTGGGTTGCACCAGAGAGCCTTGAGAGCGGCCTGGCTTCTGAAAAGGTAGACATTTTCGCATTTGGGGTTGTTCTGCTAGAGCTCATCTCCGCGAGGGAAGACATAGATGGGAAGTTATTTAGGGAATCAATTAGATTTTTGGGAGGGGGAGCGAGCGATGGTGGTTGTTTCGAGCAACTGAGAAATTTCATGGATCCAAGTTTGAAGGAGGATTATCCTCTGGCAGAGGCATTGTGTCTAGCTGTTTTAGCTAAAGCTTGTGTGGAAGATGATCCAATGCATAGGCCATCTGTAGATGATATCATGAAAGTCCTTGCCAGGATGGTTTGATCCAATTATCAAAATGTATAGTAAGATTTTGTTTGTTAGTAATTGTAGTGAATTGTTCAGTGGTTTAAGCAGGGGATAGAGATATTGCAAATTTGCAATGATTTGTTTATGAATTGATTGTGATGCATGTTTTTCTCCTTCTTCTAGCTATATTATTTGGTGCATTTGATCTTATTGAGGTCAAGAAGGTTAGTTTGTAGTGTTTTTGCAGTAGTGAATATTTGTAAATTCAACGATGTAGTTTTGAAATGTGATTTTTTTTTTTTTAATAAATAATATTTTGCTTTAATTTTAAACTTGGACTGTTGAATTATATCTTTCGTTGATGTACTAGAAAGCTCAAGAAGTTCATTTTAAAGAAAAATGACAGAGCGTTCACGTCCCTTATATTTTACTATATATATGGGAGAGCAATGCTACATTCACACAATTTTCTCTTCGAATTCCCTCCAAATATGTTTCTGATCATTTTCTTACCGGTCAAAAACACATTCAGGGGGATTCGAAAGGAAAATTGTGTTGATGAATAATTTTTTTACATATGGGGCAATAGTTGAATCTCTTTGGTTCCTTATATAATTTCTTCCAAACATTGAAATCAATCAAAAGCATTCAATTATGGTGACAAACAAAATAAAAACAAAAACAAAAACAAAAACAAAAATACTCGATGTCGCCTAGTTTTTGTCTACCATTTAATTATGTATTGATTGAATTTGTCTGATACTAGTTGTTCATTTGACCCTTAACCCAAGAGTTTATATTTGGAAAGTAACAATAAATTGTCCTTTGAGAGACATGGTTTATTATTATTATTATTATTATTATTATTAGTATAATCTGGAATATGATATCCCAACTCTTTCACCAATGCTTGCCAACTGGAGAGCCTTGTCCAATAGCTTATGTGCTGTTTCTATCCTTTGTTGTTTTGCATTGTAGCTTTGTGCTGTTGGTACTCCATCAGTTCACACACCACCTCTGTTTAGCAACAGCTTAAAAAAATATTTTCAAACATTAGGGGAATTTACATTAACACTCCTTGAAATTTGTCTCCATTAAATTTGAACCTGACTTTCAAGAAATTACATTTTCTTGAAAGTTTAAAATCACATTACAAACTACCCCTCCGTTGGTCAACTAACAAAATTTATTAATGTCAACAAACACTTCTTTGAATAAAATTTTTTTTAAAAAAAACCCCAAATTTTAACCCTAACATAACCATACTGAAATGGAAAAAGAGAGAAATAAGATTTAGTGGTTCACATTGATGATAGCAGATGAGGGTAGCGGTGGGATACAAGACAACTAGTGGTGGCTGTAAAGGGTGTGATTGTAAAAGGGTAAAATAGTAATTCAATAATTTAACCATGGTAACATACAAACACTGAGGGGAGAAAATTAGTGCAATTTTTGAAATGTCAAAATGCATCTATATTAAACCTAAACCTCAAGAGATTGTCAGTATAATTTACCCTAACCATTGATATCTTGGATAAATGCAAATGAGAAACACACAAGAGATACTTCATCCTCTTTCTTGATTTCCATTTAAACACCTCATTAACACATCTTTGTAAATTTCATGTTCATGGATTTGACTCTTCACCTTAAAACCACTATCATACATGACCTTAATTCATCTCCTACCTACCGCTACGATCGCGTATTCATTCAAACCCTTTTTGTTTCTTTTTTTTCCTTTTCAAAACAATCCTCTTATCTTTTATTCACTTGTTTGACTTTTAGCTGTGCATATATTAACCAACAAAATCATGAATCATCTGACCTCCAAAATGCTGCATAAGCTGATGTTCATGTTGTTGTTGCAATTGCTGCTGCTGCTGCTGTGAGCTCTCTGCACTTTGCCTGAGGCCCAACGTGAGCGACACTGCTCCAAGCCCGCCAATCTCAAGCCCACTACGCTGGTACGGCACAAAACCACCCATCAAAGAACCATCCATGCTAGCCGGGATTTGACAGTGCAATCTGGACCGTTTATCCTGATTCCATTGCTCTGCAGCGTTCTGTCCAACTCCTGTGCCCGATAAGGATCCAATCTGAAGGCACTCAACTTGCTCACCTGGAGTAGAAATTACACCGAGCCTGCTTATGATTTGATCACTGTTTGAACAGCCGGCACCTTCAGCAGCAGGTCTCCCATCATTCTTGCTCATGTTTGAGTTGGGTTCCGCCAAACCTTTGGTTTCAAGCATGTGTATTTCTTCAACCATGGGCTTCCACACCCGGACTCGGGCATTAATGAACCAATTTGATACCTGCATTTATTAATTGGTCATATTTCATAATCAGTGTACCAAAAGTACCAAAATCTTAGCAGTGGTGCATTCCATGGTTTAAAATAATATCTCAGCATCAGTGATAAAGTCACATAACATCAATATCCGACAGTATCAACTACTATATCAGTGAATATCAATATCAGATGTCTAAAATCCTAAAATGTATTGGCCAATATTTAAAACCTTCACATAATGTTCTCTTTTATTTTCCCCAAATCTATCTTACGACAAAATGACCCGATATAAATTAATTTCTGATGCAAATAATTTTCTGATAAATCAATTTTGCACGAAAAGCCAGCTATTGAATAACCACAATTTCAAAAACAAAGAAAGTGCTGATCATACCTGGTTTCGGGATAGTCCAGTTTGATTGGCCAACATTTGCTTGTCTGTGTCAGTTGGATACCTATGTACAACAAATAAAGCATAAATCAAATAACTAAGACATGCACGTGCACACACAAGCACATGAGGAGCGAGAGAGAGACTCACGGGTGAAGAAAGTGTTCAAATAGCCAGGCTCTAAGAACGGCCACAGAACGTTCCGGTAGGCCTCTCTGAGGCCTCCAGATGTGCTGTTGGGCTTCAAAGAAGCTGAGATTGCCGCCACCAGACTTTTGCTTTGAAAAGCTATGGTCAGCAAATGTTAACTTCGATGTACTTCTATCATCACCTTTTCTACTGCTTGCACAGGTGGTGGGAGATGACAAGTCCTCCCCCAAGGCTTTTCTTATGTACCTAAGCTGGTCTGAGATGGCATTCTTTAGGCATCGGAAGTGCTTTGACACTGTCTTCAGAGCCAAAGAAATGTAAGGTGTGGCAGCGCTAAGCCCAGCCACCGACTCAAATGATGAAACAACCATTTGCATCTGCTGGTGATACTGTTTGTACCTTCTGCAAACCTTTCAATAGCAGCGCGCAACAAATTTTTTTTTGATCAGCAAAGAAAAAACTTTATTGATGAATAAGTCAATGTGCAAAACATATGAAATATACATCAACAAAGAGAAGCAGAGTGCTTTAAGCATAATAGCTAAAAAACTTTCCAATCCCAATTAGGTTGGCACTGAAAAGAAAGCCAAATCACAAAGAGAGCACAACAGTAATCACAAATGGAGTATCAATTTAATAAATACAATTGTTATGTATATACCCAAAGAATTCAAGAAATAAACAAATGGGGATTAACCAAATAAACTATATTAACTCTTTAAGTGGCAACATCAAGCTTCAAAATTATGGACATTTTTTATTCCTTAGTTTTTAGGAGAAATGTAGGAGTAACAAACTGATTAAATTGCTCACTTAAATAATATCCATAAAATTGATACGTAATTATCCTTCTTTACTATGGAAGATCATGCTATAATAAAAAGGCCTCGAGAAGTATAATGTGCTTAAGAAAAAAATTACTAAACCAGTTTCAAAATATAGAACAATTTGTCACAACACTGTGATGGGAGGACTGTTCTATTCCTTCATTGCTCAATGGCACTTACCATTCACTTTTGGCAAATGTTTTTTTAGTAACTTTTTTTACTTTTTTAGGAAAAATCAGTGAAAAGATGAGATAATACTAAAAATTTACTTTTTTGTTAGTGGGAAAGTTGCTTTTTTCCTTTTTGTTTGCTAAATCAACGATTGCCAAACGGTTAGTTTATTTTATTTTTTTGACTGAATTAGGCAAAAGTAGCTATTTAAGCCATTGCCAAATAGGGGTAAATTAGGGAAAACAACAGTTTCAATGGTAAGTTCAGAATTTGTAAAGCAACGTCGGCAACTATGGAATTACATAGGTGGTTCCTTTTCACCCAGCAATGGGACCTTGAAAAAATGCAGGATAACAACTTATTGAGATTTGGATTTTGCTTTAATAAAGTGATTGGAAGAAGTGGTGTGCACTATTTGATTGAAAATCAGATCGTCACTGTGTTCCTTAGATTTCTTGTTATTTATCCATTAATGATTGTTTGGCAAGAGGAAGACTGGAGCTAGTGAGACTGACAATCACACCGAAATGGGTACATGGTGAAAAAGTGTGGACTCTACAGCTCCTTTTGTCACCGTCTGAAATCATTATGGACTAACACAAGCAAGAGATTCCAAATCCTACTAATTGTGAACTAGAATTTTAAATAAATCAATAAAATTAAACATAATGTAATTTGCTTACATGGCCAAGAACTAAAACAAAATTTAAAAAACTTCCGAATTGATCATATCACAAAAGCAATTAGAAAAGGTTGTCAAGCATGAAAACTTGGTCTTTAATAATGAACTTATATATCAGAGACATTTCATTCTATTTTAAAAAATAAATAAAATTAAACGTAATGTTGAAATTTTCAAAATTTAAAAAACTTCAGAATTGATCCAATCACAAAAGCAATTAGAAAAGGCTGTCAAGCATGAAAACTTGGTCTTTAATAATGAACTAAAATATCAGAGATATTTCATTTTTTTATTCTTTATGTAAGAAGACAAACAAGCAGAGGATGAGAAGCTGATGTATATGTAAGTTCAAAGTCGCTGTCTAACAAGGCACTCATCATAATCTCTAACTTTATGCAAATTTTATTTACATTAGTTTTTCAAACAAAGCAAACAACAAAGACCTACAGAACCAAGAAACTTCTGACACAAGTAGTTTTCGAGAGGATGATGAGAGCAATATAATGGCCAAAATACTGCCACACTCGACAAGTTTTAACAGAGATTATAAGAATAATTTTATCATTCTAGTGGAGCTGCATTATGCGGATAGTATAACTTTACTAGCCAACATTTAAATATACCAAAGTGTCTGATAACTGAGTTTTACACGAATAAATTCATTGATTTCCATGGAATCATGGGGAATAAGTGAAATTTTAGTATAATTTTTGCAAAATGAGGAGAAGAAAACATGTCTATTTAAAAACTGCCTTTTTTTGAAGGCTATATAGTTTGAGATTATTATAGAAATGGTGGTAATTTTCCTTCATTTGTTTTTAGAAATACAAGAACATCACTTATATTTCAGGCTGGGAATCAAACCCCAGCAAATGAGCTTAGCATTTCAGTTCCCATGCCAACGGAACCAGATTATATGGCAACATATACCTTCAATTAGAGCTTATAGTTGCAAGATAATGTTTAAATTAGTATTTGAGAATAAGGAATCTCAAGTTCAATGCTCATCTACCAAAGAATTATTTTCCCTGGAGTCAAAAAATAAAATAAAACACTGACCCTATTGTTGTACATAGACAACAGCATACTTGGTTAATAGGAAGGAATGGCGGCCTATGAAGCATGGACACTGACACGGGACACGACAATTTCCAAAAAATGGGGACACGGACACGGTGGGAGACACGGCGAATTTTTATTTTTTTATTTTTATATATTATTATGTGTTATGTAGATTCATATTACATTCATTCTAAATCAAAATTAACAAACACTAATGGAGTAACATTAATTCAATAAATATAAGAGAGGCAAAAGATTCAACATCCAACATCCAACAATAAATGAACTAGACATTTTTCCTATTAATTAATTAAGGAACTCTTTGAGCTACATTATTATTAAAGTATTAGGAAATGGATGAGTATCTATAGACTTATTGGCCTAACTGCCATGGGGTACTGCATTTCTTTCGGTTTCTCTTAGTCTTTGTTTATTCAACTAGATATGATTGTTTCTCTCAACTTCCCACCCAAAATAAAATAAAATAAAATAAAATCTTACATGTATATTTATATATATAAACGTATTAAAAAATAAAAATAAAAATCTAAATCTAACTCAGTCAAGAGAGCAAAGAGAGAGAGAGAGAGAGAGAGAGAGAGAGCGAGTGTGAGAGAGAGAGGGGCTTACCTTCGAAGTCGTCTAGATCGAAGGTCTGAGACAGAGACTGAGACGAGTGGTCTGAGACAGAGATTGAGGCGACGAGTGGATCGATTGAGACAGAGACTAAGACGAGTGGATCGGAGGGCTTTGATTGACTTCGGAGGGTTTCGATCGACTTCAACAGAGAGACAGGGTCTTCGACTGAGAGAGAGAGGTCTTCACAAGGTCTGACTGACTTCCTTCACTCTTTCTTTGTTCGATTTAGGGCTTTTACACATGTTTTTTTTTTTTAAATCTTTTTAAATATTACACTTTGACCCCAAATACATATAACAAATTCAAAAAAGAGCCCCGCCATGTCCCATAGCGTATCCAGATGTGGACACGCGTGTCCCCGCCATGTCCTAGCCGTGTCCCCTTCCAAAAAAAACATTAAATTAAAGGGACACGCCATCTGGCGTGTCCCGTACGTGTCCCCGGCGTGTCCTCGTGTCGGACACCGCCACGACACCAATTTTGGAGTGTCCATGCTTCATAGATGGCGGTAGCTCAAGTAGGGTCGTCCCCATGTGGCCCAAAATTATGGTCAAACTTGGGTATATTGTTCTAATCCACTGTAAAGGATAACTATCATCAAATATTTATCCTATTCCACAAATACGTTTAATACGATAGAAAACACTCAAATTTTGAGGGAAAAAATTGGCATCCTGCTTACAATTTCAGTTTGCTATTGATATGTAATGTGATAGAAAAGCTACTATTTCCCATTGCACTCCCAGCCAGTGCCTAGGATAGATAGTGTTGTAACGGGACTTGATAGATTAGATAGTGCTGAGAGTTTTCAATTTGAAAACTTAGATCAACAGTTGCAGACATCAATCCGTTACCTCATGGGTATATTTTGCACTTCATGTAGAATGTATTTTAAGGACATCTGTGTTTTCAAAATACACCAATTTTGATCTTTTTTGCATTAGATGAGTATGTCATTGTCCATAGGATGAGTTTTTGCAAACTTGGTGAGTTTGCACATTTTCCGAGATGAAGGTTTGAGAATAGATCGAACCCTCATATGTGCTTTAAGCAACTAGTGGAATAATGATCGAGCACCACTAATAGCGATTGATTACTCTTATGCGTTGAAGTGATTGAGCACATTTACATTGAACCAAAACATTAGTTTTTCCTTAAAACATTCCATACTGTAGCACTCACTTCGATCACCCGTATAGACAAAAGCCTAATTTGAGTTGTTTTAGGTTTTTAATCTCCCATCTCATATATAAAGGACCCTAATACATTTTTTGTGTCTATGCCTTTTCTTTTTTTCATTTTTGAGCTGCCCTAAGAGTCTTTAATAGAGTTTTGAGTGCTCCTCAACATTTACATTTTTAGTAAAATTCTCTTGAGCTTTTAATCAAAACTACCACCACAGCATTATCTTGACGTCCCCTTGGCCAATAAGGTAAAGGGAACCATTAGAGTACCGAGATTGAGAAAAGAGAAAAAGAGACTGACAGGGTCAGGTTGAGCTCATGGAGCATGGATAAGATTTTGAAGTTAGGTAAACTGGGTTCAAATGGTAGTTCCCTTCATTTGAGTCCTATAAACTTTAATATGCTTAGTGAATTGTTAGGGTTGGGATCATAACGTCATCCCTTGGGAGAATTTTCTCAAAAGGTTTTCACGGTAAACATCGTGTTCACTTTATTATTTTATAATTCTATGACTTGCCTCATCACTGTTGATCCAAAATTGTATTGGAATTGTTAATTAGCTGATAAATTTTAAAAAGTGATAATTTTCAATGTTTGGCCTATTTTACCCCCTTCTAGGAACAAACTTCCAGACTCCAATATTCGACACCATAATTTTTGTTTATTCTCAATATTTTATAGTGATACTAATATTTCCTAAATTTCTCAATATTTTTATAGTTCTTACAAGAGTTTTTTACACTAAGATATTAAACAGCCTTCCACTTTCCACTTCCCAGCCAAATTTTTTATTTTCATTTTTAAGAAAAAAAGCAAAGACAAAACTATAAACCCTTGTACATCAAATTTCTTGATTTTTTTTGATCGGCCATGAAATTTGTTGGTTGTAGCATTCAAATATAAACAAATATCAGAGATGACTAACCTCCTCCTGCATAAATAACAGCTTTGCCTTCTTTTGCTGAAATTCAGGCCCATAAGATTCACTTGAGCTGCTGCCAACACCACCTTCCCCCCTAATTTCGTTTGAACTATAAATTGTGGATGACAAAACACCTGAGTGATCACCGCCCTTATCGCCAAGTCCAACCATAGACTTAGCAGCATTACCAGCATCTGCAGAAACCTTATCAGACACCTCACTTTTTTTGATGGGTTTCTCTCGGTCACTCCCAATACAAATTTCATCCAACAGCTTCTGGGCAGGCTTCAAAAATCTTGAACCCTTAAGTATAGTTGCATAGCCCGTGAAAGGCCCCAGAGGACCGGTATTTCGATGAGTAAAGGTAGATGACCTTATCATGTCTTGACAAGTATTTTTACCACTGTCAATGGATGGTTTCAAGTTGCGAAGATCATTGAAAACACCAGTGGTTCCGGAGTGTAAATCTTCTCCAAATTGACCACCATGTGAAAGAGATAGAGATAAACCGTGTGTGTTAGAATCGCTCGCAACGCTCCTCAAGTCCCTATCACTCTTACTTGCTAGAAAACCCAATTCGCTGGTACTCCACTGATGATGACAACCCTCCTCCGGCCTACTCATCCATGCAGAAGAAGCGTCATTAAGACGCAAAGGAATGGATTGATCACCACAATTTGGAAGAAGAGGAAGTTCATTCCCACCATCGGACCAAGAACCAGGGCCAGCTGTGGCCAATGTAACCCCAGCTGCTAGCTGGGCGTTTTGGTAAAGTGGAAGAGAATTAAATTGCATTTCCTCATAACCCTTTTCCCTATTTTGACTTGAAATTTCACTAGATGAATTGATTAAAGAGGACTGTACAACATATTGATACCCACTGAAACTAGATGAAGCAATGCTGTTTACAAACAGTGGGTTGTTGTGATTGCTTTCACTGCTAGTTAATCCACTTGAATAATTACCAATCCAATCACAACTTTGCTGTGAACCACCAATACTTTTCCAAGTCCCACAACTTTGTGGCCCACCACTGACTTTAGGTGATGATATTGGGTGTGTTGAGTTAGCAACAGAAGTAATTTCGTCGGCAATCTGCCTATGATCAGGCGGAACGCCAATAGATTCTTGATGCACCACCTCCATAGCATCCTTTGTCACTGCGAAATTGAGCATTTGAGAAGAAAACATAGCCGGGTTATAGGATATATTGCCGTACCTAACATTGGGGACCTGAAAAACATCTGGGTTTAGTCCCTGATTGTTAGGGTAGTCCTCTAAATGCTGTGATTGGGCTGTTGTTGAACTCTGCTGAACTCTCAACTTATCGCGCCGGCTTTGCTGGGCAACATGCGATTCGGGCCTAAAGTTGCTAAAGTCCATCAAATTAACACTTGATGATCAATGTCTCTTCTCATACATTAATTATATCTTGAAATGAACTCACCAAATCAAGCTATAAGAGAGGATAATAGATCAAACCCATATGTCTAACCTCATCGAGCAAGCTAAGAATGCTATTATATAAGTTCATACCTGAAATCCCAACAAGTTATATAATGTCAACATATCATATCAATTTTGTAATTTCAAAGCAATGATCAATAATACACATAATAACTTCTTATTAATATTAAAATTAAAAAAATATTTTAAAAAAAACACACACACACAGTAACAAGAGAGACATTATAAGATTGTAGCAAAATCATGAGTCAACTAGAGAGAGAGTTTCTATGGATTTGCTTCAACAAGTTTCGTTTTCATAGCCTTTTTTGTGTTGTATTAGACCTCTCGAGAACCTTCTCGGCCAAGCAATACAGTTCCACACAGTGAATGTGTAGTTTTTCACTATGTAAACATGAAAATCCTAAAACCAAAATACCAAACAAAAGCTTCAGACCAAAACACAAACATAAAAAAGAGGGAAACGAACTCATCACTCTACAACCCACATACTTTATCATGCTACCCACTGAAACCCTAATTCCAAATTTAACGGCGTTAAACACCCGCCAACTCGACTGAACGAAAGACGACCTTGGAAGAAATCTCAAACACATCCACCCACTAACGGATCCACCTAACGGAGCTCAAGAACAGCCCATAACAACCCACCTCCATGGACGCATCGTTTTTGCTACGATTTATCGAAAACAGTAAAATCTCTCTCTCTCTCTCTCTCTCTCTCTATATATATATATATATATAAAGATTTTGAATTCAGAAACTGTAACTACAAAAAAAAAAAAGTTGAAACCCAGAGCACAAAGGATAAAACCCAAAAATAAAAACAAACAAAAAAAAAAAAGAAACCCATGAAGAATGAATCTGAACTAGTAGAGATCTGGTCTATGATGGGTTAAAGATGAAACAGTTGATGAAGATTGTGACAAGTAACAGCTTCATTACCTGTACACTTGACAATTGGATCTTGATTTTCAACACCAACCCTTTCAACAACTTCGGGTCTTATAAGTTTCTCCGGTGGAGGAGTGTGGGTTTGGAGTGGCGGTGGTTAAACGAGCTGAGTGAGGTTGAAGAAGGACAATAATTGTGAAACCCCAAAACGCCAATAATTGCCGTTAGGTTGGGGGGTTGGGATTGGGTAAATTACAAATACATTACGTGGTTAATGTAATTTGAAAAATTATGAATATTTTTTATTAAAAAATTTTATTTAATAAAATTAATAAAAAAATACTAAATTTTATAAGTGTTTTTATATAATAATAAAATTATTTAAATATATATTTATAATGTTATTTAAAATTATTAATTAATTTGATAATTTATTAATAAAAAAATTATTTATTATATGATTATAAAATTACAAAAATGAGAAAATTATTTATTATATGATTATAAACTTACAAAAATGAGATGTAATTTCTAAAATTGTAATCTATATTTTAACCAAAAGTTATATTTACAAATTATGAGTAATACGGATAGAATATATGTCTTGAGATACTTTTTATTATTGTGATTGGTAAATTTTTGATTTTTTATGAAATATGAGTTGGATTTGGGTTGAATTTGAAGTGATGTGTTAGAGAGGTGATGCGACTTAAATAAGATTATGCCTCCGTTTGGGAAATGGGTTGATTTTTTGACTTTTTGATTTTTTTTTTACTATTTCAACCTGAGCTAAAAAGCTTGGTTTGGGAATGATTTTTTAATTTTTTGACTTTTTTTGTAAGAGAATAGTGTAATGATTATGGGTTGGATGTGATGTTTTGTTTGTTATGGCTAAAGTAGTCTATTTTGTTTTTTGTGGCTATTTTATCCCCAAAATCGCTTGCCAAACACCACCTATGTGGCTTAAATAGGATAGTAATTTTTTGACTTTTTGATTTTTTTAAAACTTGTCAAACCACAACGTTTATGTTGAGTATTTGAAGAATAATGGGGCGTTTTGACAATATAGTAAAAAACTAATTTTTTGACTTTTTAGTCACATCACCTTTAATTTTTTTTACATAAAAAAATCAAAAAACTACTAAAAAAATTAAAAACTTAATTTTTTACTAATTTCTCAAAACACCACAATAATATATATATATATATATAATTAGTAAAAAATAATGTATCGTGATATCTGACATGGGTTATTTTGAGAAGTGAATTAAAAGTCACTTCCCAACTTTTAATCTACTTTCCTCTCTCACAAAAAAATTAAAAAATAACTTTTAACCATATTCTCAAAGCAATTCATATAAAAATTTCTCATAATTTAGCCGTTTGGATTCGACGCTTTACCAACGACATTTTTGGAGGAGTTAACGTCGATGCGTCCGTTAGATTTAACGGCGAATATGTCTACCCGTGAATCTTCAGGAGAATTGAATGTGTCCTTCTCCTCTCTCCCCCTCTCTCTCTCTCTCTCGCACACAAGGACGGAGGGAACCCTGCGTTGAGGCCCCAATTGCTATTTTAATTACCAAAGTGCCATTATTTTATTCGTACTAATTAGTTAAAAATTACACTATAAAAAAATAATGTGAACAAAATTGTTTATTTGACACATTTATAATTTTTTAATTATTTTTTAGATGGTTAAATAAAATTTTGACTGAAAATGAAGTTATTAAATAAATTAAAAATCTTTTTAAATTTTTTTTTATTTTTCTAAAATGTTTACTAGAAAATTTTAATTTGGAGTTGAAAATTTTATTTTTTTATTAATCTAAAATTGTGTTTTAAAAACATAATTTCATGAAATAGTTTGGCCATGTTTGATTTACTTTTTCAGAAATTTGTTTTCAATTTATTTTTTAAAAAACTAAAATTTCATTAAAAAAATCAAAAAATCAAAAAAGCTTATCGTTTATATTTTTATCTTTTTTTAGAATAGAAATAATTTTTAAAAATTTAAAAATATATTTTTAATGTTTATTTTTGTCAAACTAATTTTAATTTTTTTTGAAAATTCAGAAACTAGTTTCTAAAATACAAAACAAACATGCCCTTAGATTTAAGAAATAAATTTTAAAGTACAAACATTTAGAAAATAAATGAACACTCAAATACGGTAAATTACTTCAACAATTTAAATAACCCAATTGACCTGATGATTAAACACTTGTTTGGCATAAGATTACGTGATTAAAATAGTCACAAAAATATAAAATAATATATTAAAAAATTAATAAAATAAAATATCATATTTAAATCATAATTAATATATTTTTTCTCTTATAAAAATCAAAAAATCTATCCCAAATAAAATTTTTTAACCTTAAATTAAAATAGTCAAAAAATTAAAAAACCAAAAAATTTACCCATATCCCAAATGACAATGCAGATGAGTATTACCACAAAAAAAAAAAAAAAAAAAAACGAGAGAAAGAAGGAAAGAAAATAATCAGCTTGTTTGGTTGATTTCCAAAAAATTTCACTTTTATATTTTTTGTATTTTTTTATTTTCAATGACTATTTTTAATATTTTAAGTAATTTTTTAATTTTTAGACACACATAACATAAATACACTTAAAAATGATAATATTTGTGAAAAAAAATCTTTAAAAACTCACTAAATACAAAAAAAATACAAAGAAAAGATATGAAAATTCAATATATTTTTCATATTTTTGTGTATTTATTAATTTTTAAAAATATTTTTTAAAAATATTTTATTATTTAGATATATTTAAATAAAGTACATCTAAAAAAGTAAAAAAAATTACTTAATTTTTAAATATATACATTAAAAACAAAAAAATACAAAAAATTAAAACTAAACACACTGAGGCTCCGTTTGTTTTCAGAGGTAGAATGAAAGAGATTAATAGTGAAGGGATTGTTAGTGAGTGGATTGATAGTGAAGGGATTAAGTAAAATTGTGTTTATTTTGATAATAATTGTTAGTGTAGGGATTGTTAAATTATTTTTATATAAAATAAATATAAAATAATAAAACAAATAAAAATACAAAAATATTAAACATTAATGTTTTAAAAAAAATGCTCAACATGTAAAAAATTTAAATAAAATAAAAAAATTTCAAAAAAAAAATAAAACAAAAAAAATAATGATTTTTACTTAACAAAAAATACAAAAAATTAAATATTAATGTTCAAAAAAAATACCCGTCATGTAAAAAATAAAATGAAAAATAAATAAAAATAAAAAATTTCTAATCCGCCGAACTATTTTTCTAATACCAAATCCTGGAGGCCCATCCAAATCCCCTTGGGGAGGTCCATCCTAATTCGGAGCTCACTATCAATCCCCTCCACATCTCTCAAAATAAACACAATATTAGTAGATCTCACCTCACTATCAATCACAATCCCCCTTCTAAGTGCTCTTTTGGGAAACTGGTAAAAAGTCAACTTCCAGTTTTTTACCAATTTTGGATCACATCACCTCTCACATAACTTACTCACAAAAAGATAAAATGAACTAAAAAATTAATTTTTTGCCAACTTTTCAAAACATTCCTAACTTTCCAAACAAACAGACAGATAATATTAGCGAAGAGAGAGAGATAAAGCTAACGAAAAGAGAGTAACGACCGTCGAAGTCGTCTGTCCTTCATCCCGTCCTACATGGGGTGTTTGGCAAGAAAAAAAATAGCCTAGTTTAGGCTAAAATTCATAAAAAAGACAAAATATACTAAAATAGTTAATAAAACAAAATATCACATCCAACCTATAATCATTTCATTTTTTCTCTCACAAACATCACATCCAACCATAAAAAAATTCAATTATCTTCCCAAACACAAAAATTTTAGCCTACTAAAATAGCCAAAAACTAAAATAGCCTACTAAAATAGCAACTTGCCAAACGAAGCCAATAGTCTCGAAATATTATTGTGTGATATTTTGACTCTGTTTGACAAGCTGCTTTATAATTTTTTTTTGGGTTAAAATTGTTAATAAAAATAAATTAAATTAAAATAATTAATAAAATAAAATGTCATATTTAATACATAATCATTTTATTTTTTTCTCACAACTATCAAATCAACTAAAAAAATAATTATCTTCACAAACATAACTATTTTAACCATTTTGGAGAGTTCAACTTTTTTTTAATAGTATAATTATTACATTTTAAAAATAATGACTTTTCAAAATTACTCTTTAGAAGTATAATTGTCATAATTATATTTTTTTTATGTATATTAATATTAATAAATTTAAAAGAATAGCAAAATAAAAAATTCATGTTATTTTAATTTTTGTTTTTTTAAAAAATAATTAATATTTTAAGATAATTAAAAATACAGTAATATTTAAAAATGAAAAGGTATAAAATTTATAGGACTTGTTTGGCTTGTATCTCAAGATATAATTTTTTTTAAAAAATTCAAATTTTGTTTGATTCAAATTTTTTTTAGAAAAATTTTCAAAATCACTTTCTCTCTCCTTCACTGCAATCAATCATTTTTTCTCTCTCATCTCTCTTTCTGAATCATTTTTTCTTTCATACACATCTACTCAACTATAACAAAATATCAAATCATCCTAAACTTCTAAGCTTCAAAATTATTTTCAAAATATACAATTAAACAAATAAAAAAAATTCTAAACTCTCTTTCCAAATTTTTTAAAAAAAATTTACCTCAAAACACAAACTAAACACACTCATAATCTTCATAATTAACAACAGATCTATTGAGGATACATATACCACTATATTAGTAATGCTATATATATTAATTAATATACTAACTAACGTACCTACACTTGTTATAACATTATTATTGATATCACTCATTAATCACATTATAAATATCAAAAACTTTTTAAATTATATCATATTATTAATTGGTACATTAGTTAGCACGTTAATTAATGCACACAGCATTATTCAATATAAGTTTATTTTGGGGAGTTAATTAAAAATTAATTTTTTTATTTTTTAATTTTTAAATTATATTATTTTTCTATTTTTTAAAAAAATTAAAAAATTAATTTTTGACTTACTTGTCAAAAGGTCATAATCAGCCTGCCAAAAGATACATGCAAAATCCTATTAAATATTAATTTTTTTCTATATATATATATATATATATGTAAGTATGTGTGTGTACCCATTAAAAAAAAATGCTGGAGGCACTGGTGATA